TGCCTGCTCGCGGCTCGCCGGCGCCGGGGTGCTCCGACAGCTGGGCTCGCCGCGGCTGCCTCTCCGGCGCCCGCCCGCCATGAGGAGTGCGCAGCCCCTGGTCCTTTTCTCCCTGGTTGCCCTTTGCCCGCGCGGTGAGTTCTTTTCGGGAAAGGGGGGAGGGGCGCCGGTCGCGCCGCCCGGCTGCACTGGCCACAGGTGGGGGAGCCGGGGGAGCGGCCCGAGGTCGTCCCGGCCGGACGGGGGCGTGGGCGGGCTGAGCCCACTGGCCGAGGCCTCTGGGACGGGCCAGGGCGATGGGTCCCCGAGGTTTGGAGTGGGGACTGCCTCTCCTCCCTGGGCACCTGCCGGGCAGCCTCCGCGGCGAGAACCTCCGGGCTGAGCCGGGCTGGCTCTGCACTGGCGCGAAGGGAGTCTGCGGGACAGCGGCGTCAGGTGCCAGTAGGCTCCTCACCGGCCAGGGGTAGACGCAGGGAGCACCCCCGCGGCTCGGCCTGGGAGGGAGGGCTCCGCGCCGCTAGGCTAGAGATGGGGAAACTCAGCCCGGACCGGGAAGGGCTTGCCCAAATCGCCAGACCCGGAATGGTTTGCAGTGTGGGGCGTGTCTCCTAAGAAACACACTTTTAAGACACCACTGTCTCTGGTCACCCACCCTTGGGGCTGGGCTGGCTTGGACAGACAGCGGGGCGCAGCGTCAGGCTGGAGAAGTGGAGAGCCGCAGTCTCTGACACCTGAAAGGGAGACCCCATCCGCCCTTCCCAGGCAGAGTCCAGATGTGATGAGGACTGCCTTCTCTGGGCCTCAGTCACCCGCCCCCCACCCTCCCCCCGAGTTCCAAGGACCCTTAGCTCCTACTGTCTGGCCCAGGCTTGTCCTGAGTCCTGCTTAGCCCAGGAGACCAGGCGGGACTACATCTTCCTTGGACAGGACACAGCGCTGGGGGTGTTGGAGGCAGGACTGCGAGGACATACAAGTTCCTATAGGGAAGTGCAGCTCTCACCAAAGATGGGGTCCCCACTCTGCGTGTGTCCTGGCTCTGTCACCACTTGCGGGGTGACCCCATGCCATTCCTTTCCTCTCTCCAGGCCTCAGTTTCCCCATCTGTTCTATAGGAATGATATGCCCTGCCTACATCCTTGGGGACTCAGATAGGAGTCAGTTGCCGTGTTTCTAAAGCGCGGTCCTGGGGCCACCTGCATCAGGATTACCCCATACAAATTCCTGGGCCCCACCCTAGACTCAGAGATCTAAATCTCTGGAAATAGCGCCTGGGAACCTGGGTTTATACAAGCACCCAGGTGATTCTTACACATGACAGATAATATGTGGTGAGCTTTTCGTAAAAGGTAAAAATCTCGACCTTTAAAAAAAAAAAAAATCCAGAGCTGCCTTTTAATAAATACAAATCTCCTGTTCCTCAGTGAAGGACACTCACCCCAAATTGAAAATCACTTTGCCTTCTGGATGCTGCCTTGCCAGGAGATTCTGTCGGTCTTTACCTTCTATGGTTTGTGTTCCAAAACAATAGCTATTATCTCTTGGTTTTCCCAATATTAGATTTTAAGATTATGCTTTGTCCAACTGTACACACAGTCAGCACAGTAGAGGGTTTGAGCTGCGGCTTCCCCCAGATGTTAACCCCTTCCTGCTCCCGAGCTGGTTTTCCAGAGAAGGCCTAGCAAGGCCAGGCCCTAGACACAGTCAGCGCTGGCCCAGGACTCCTCAGAGTCACTGCGTCATGACTGACCCCTAGTGGTGGCCTCCCTGTTGAACTGTGTTGACCCCAGGGCTGGGACATGACCCCCAGAGGCGCCCAGGAGGCTCCCCCCATTCTGGGCCACCCTTGTCATGGAGCGGGGACAGGCCCTTGTCTTTTGAACCCAGCAGGCCTCACAGGCAGGAAGCAACAAATATGTGTTGTTCTGGGTTCCCGCTGCCTTTGGTGGTGGTGGGAGACCATTCTAGCCCACAGCAGCCCTGCTGGTCTTTCCCAGCCCCACCCCCTTACACGCACACACATACGAACGCAAACACAGGTGACAGCAGGAACACACACTCAGCTATGGTTACCATGATGGCCTCTGCAGAGCAGTCTCCTTTTGGGGACGTTAGCAAGGGCAGGGCAGAAGGCACTGGGGCCCGGGAGGGCCCCTCTCTGAGGGAGGCTCTGAGACCTGGCTCTGCTCTGACCTGCTGGGGCTCCTCAAGTAAGTTCCTTCCCTCTTGGGTCTTAGTTTCCCCGGATGAGAAACAGGGAACGCACAAAATGGCCTGAGGTTTTCAGAACCCCCAACTCTGGAGCCCACAGCCTGTCCTCAGGATGGAGAGGGTCCCTCAGGCCAGGTGAAGGCCCAGGAGGCAGGACAGCCCCAAAGGTGAGCAGCCCAAGCGCCCCAGCCTGCAGAGCAGCCTTGACCTCTCAGGAACCTGGTGGACCAACCTCTGGGGCTGCAGAGATGTGGGCTCCAGTCTCTCCCTATCCTGTAGGACCAGGAGCTGCAGATTCTGACCCCAGACCGGCCTCAGAAATGCCAGAGGGGCTTGGGCAAGTGATACAGCCCACTTTCTGAAATGACGGGTCAGCCCAAATATACGCACTAGAGAGGCACCGTGGGAGGGACCCAGCTTTAGCCTGGGGCTACAGGCTGGCTTCTAGGGTATTCAAACAGCTTGCCTCTGGGAGGGGTCCAGGGTGTAAGAGGCAGAGCTCAGAATCTAGGCCACGCATCCAGAGGACCCCCTCCGGACAGCCCCAGGCAGTCTGGGGGAGGGGCAGCGGGCAGCAGGTGCACCCGGGAGCATCATTCACAAGGCACTAAATATTGCATCTGCTCCACACAGGCAGCGAGTCGGAAAGTGCACGGAGCAGGCTGGTGTGGCGCCAGCTCCCGCGGCCCTGTGTGCAGCCCAGCACCCACACAGGAGGCCACCTTGGACCCGCTTCACAGGCCGTTCAGGCTCTGGGCCCTCGGGCCCCACCCAGAGGGAGGGATTTGGCAAAGCCGGCACTGGCCCTTCAGGGAAGGATGCCATGTGAACCCCACGCCCAGTGAGACCCAGCCCCTCCCCGGCAGCCCCACCCCCACCTCCTCAGCCCCCGTTCCCTGATCTTCTCCTACCTGCTTTCCTGCCCAACACCACCTGCTCTGCCCATCTCCCCTCCCTGCTGCTGGGCTCTCCTGCTCAAGTGTCCTTGACCTTCCCCAGAGTCTCTTCCCACGGCACCACCCCCACCTCTGCCCTCAGCTGACACATCCTCCCAGAAGACACCAGGGTAAACAAGACCAGGTCCCTGAACCTCATCTTCACTCCCAGACGTGTGAAGGAGCTGGGACCAAGACCCACACCCCACTGGGCAAGAGATCCAGGCCTGTGGGAGCTCAGGGGGCCTAGGGGCAGGCCAGGCTTCTTGTGGGAGCTGCACTGGTTACGGCCCTGAGCCCACCCCTCTCCTTTAAGCTCCGGACCAGGAGCCAACTGTCAGCTGGACCCCAACACTTTGCAGTCTGAGGGTCTTAACTCGGGAAATTCCCCGTGGTCAGTCTGTTCCCTCCCCGAGAACGTACCACCCTCCTCCCCGCTCTGCACACAAAACCCATGGTAGGATCCCTCCTCCACTACACAGGAAACCAAGGCAGGAGTCACTTCTGGTGTTTGCTTGCTGTCATCCCCAGCACATGGCACAGTGTCTGGCACAAGGCAGACGTTTGATGGTTGGCCTGGGGGCAACTCTGGCAGAGAGAGTGTGCCCAAGGGCTCAGAAGTACGACCGTGAAGACAGGGTGGGGAGAGGAAAGCAGGAGGGATGGCGGAGTGCCGAGCGTCTGGGTGGGCCCGTGAGAAAAGATCAGGTTGAGGAGGGCAGGCTGGTACCAGGGCCAAAGGGCTCAGTCTGGGAGGCCTGAGAGGCTCGGGTGGGGAAGGCCCTGGTGAGGCCACAGCCACTGACTGTCGTGCCGCGTGGTGCGTGGCCGCAGGGGCAGAGTCGGGCAGGGACACCCGCAACGGGCTACGGGAAAAGCCCGGGCCGTGCTCCACGACCGGGGCTGGGGGCGGGGAGCGGGAGGATGGACGGATAGACTTGGGGTGCAGAGAGACTTGCGGGCAGCACCCCGTTTCTGGACGCAGCGTCTGGGTGTGGGCTGCCCTTCATCCTAGTGGGAAGGGGAGGAAGGAGGGGCAGCCCGCCCCCGGCTCCTGCGCACCAGCCCAACTCTCCCCTTAGCGGCCAGCAGGGAGGGCCCAGCAGGTCTGACCGTGTGTCTCCCCAGGGGACTGCCGTGTGGCCAATGCAGAGGAGAGACTTGTAGATGACCTTCTGAACAGAACCCGCTACAACAACCTGATCCGCCCGGCCACCAGCTCGGCCCAGCTCATCTCCATCCAGCTGCAGCTGTCCCTGGCCCAGCTCATCAGCGTGGTAGGTGCTGACCGCCCCCGTCCAGGCTGGGGGCCAGAGTGCGGGGCTGGGGGCACCTTTGGCTTGGCCCACACCTCTAGACCAGGTCAGATCGCTCGTCTGCTCCTTTTCCATATGCATATGTTCAGGAGTCCGCCTAAACTGGAGGCCCGACCGCCTCTGCGCTGTGAATCCTTGGTCCCGGAACTGCAGGCTGGCCTTGCGCTCCTGTCCTTGCTGGGCGAGCCCTGCCCGCTGCATGCACACCAGTCCCACCGTTCAGGGCCACTGCTAATCCCAGATCTCAACATCGATGAAAATGCTTTAACTTCAAGCCACAGAACATCCAAGTCCCAGTGGCCAAAACACTGAGAACACCCCGGTGAGAGCAGGCCAGTGTGTCAGTGCTGGTCAGTCAGTCGGGGACCCGGCGGTGTCGGAGCTCTGGGTCACTGTCCGTGCCGGTCAGTCGGGGACCCGGCGGTGTCAGAGCTCTGGGTTGCTGTCCATGATGGCAGGATTCCGATCATCAGATGGCGGCCACAGGTCCAAACATAAAACGTCACGTGACAATGTCTGTGGCAGGAGCTCTCAGATCCTCTCTGTCCCAGAGACCTGCCCTGTGGACGAGCCCTGGAACCCTGAGCCTCAGCCACAGCTGGCCAGGAGGCCCGGAAGATCATGAGTGTCCGATACCTAACAAAGTCATGGTTCTGTTAACAAAGATGTGAAGGGGCAATGACTGCGGGGTGGGCGGCCAACAGGCCTTTCCCGAACAGGTGGGCGTCCACCATGGCCATAAACTTCTCCTTGTCTCGGCAGCTCTACCCTATCATCGCCCTCCCTTAGCCTGCCCAACAGAGGCCCTCATGTCCCCCCTCTCGTCGGGGGACAGAGGAACGAGGCTGTGGGACCTGACGGGTACCGAGGCCCCGGTGTGGGGACAGGACCAGAGGCAGCCGCTGCCCGGGGGGGTGAGAGTCTGGACAGGTGAGGGCAGCCACCGTGGGCACGAGAAGGAGGAACAGCTTGCAGACTCCACAAGTAGGGCTGTCACCTCCTGGTGTGTGGATGTGGGGCAGGGGTAGGGGTGCTGAGGTGCCGGGGAGCTCCCCCTCGCCCCTCTTGTCTCTGAGCTGAGAGTGTCTGCAGGAACCACAGCCTATGGTTAACCTTCCCCGTGTGGCCTTCCCACAGCCCCATCCACGGGGTTGGAACCTGCCTGGGAAGGAGCTGTGAGGGGAGCACTCTAGGGTACCGCGTCTGGTCGTGGGGAAGGAGGTAACGGGGGGAGCTGAACCTCCTGAGGACAGGTGGCCCCCACAAACCCACCCCCTCCAAGCAACGCCCCCCAGAAGGCTGGGAGGAGGGTCCCCTGGGAGGAAGCACAGCCAGACAATGGGGGAGGGGACGGACAGCCTGAGCTTTCTGTCCCTCTCCCCTCTGCAGGCCGCCTGGGAAGAACAAGGAGCCAGGCCAGGCTAGTGTTGGGAGTTCACGGTGCAGCCAAAGGCGTTTTGCTTAACGGGGTGAGCCCAGCTGCCACTGCAAGGCTGCTGCCCTGCTCAGGGGAAACAGGCAGGCGGCTGTGGTCACACTTCCAGGCTAAGGCTGCCCCTGCCAGATCTACCCTGTGGGCCGTGGGAGGTCATAGAAGTTACCAGGCGGAGGAGGGCTCCCACCCTATGCCGTGAGTGCGCTCCTGTGAGCGGTGATCACCCCGAACGCTGTACGGAGAATAGGTATTCAGTCCGAGGGTTTATTTCTTCTGTATTCCAGGATCTGGTTTTCCAGGAGGGAGGGTTATGGGCATGACCAGTTTAAAGATGAAGTTTCCAGGGAGGAAGCAAGGAGTGTGTGCAGGCCCTCCCAAGAAGCTCCCTGGGGTGGCCAGGCCTTGAGCCATCCTCCTCGGGCGTGTTCTGCAGCCGCTGGGGAGGGACGGACAGGACTGAGACACAAGAGAATTCCTGAGTGATAGAGCCTGAATGGAGGTGGGCCATGTGGGTAATATATTTGCTCAAATTGATCAAACTGTTTGCTTAAAACCTATGCACTTCACTGTATGTAAGTTTTACCACAACTTAAAAAAAAATGTTTTTAAAGACAGATGAAGGCGTTCAGTGTTGCAGACTAGCTTTTCCACAAGAACAACTAGAAAAACTGTATAAAAATGCCTCCCACTCCATTAATCTGTGTGACAGTCTTGGAGAGCTCAGCCAGGACTTGAGGGACCAGATTCCGGGAGGTGACCCTCGGTCTATGGCGTTTTTCCCTGCCCATGATGACAGGTACATGGTAAAAGGCCAAGGGGCTAAGGAGAGGAGGGCAGCATGGTGGCTGTGAGGCTGGAGCCCAGCTGAGTGTCTGGTGCTCTCGCAGGGCTGGGGGCACATGCCAGCATTCGGGCCCCACAAGATGGGGAGACCCTGAAAAGACCACCCATCAGAGTAAAAATGAATAAAAAATAGGCCAGCTCTCAAAACAACTAAACCTGCTGTGAACAAGCTCAGACACAGACTAGATGAAGGGGATCTGCCCCTCATCTATCTGCCATTATGCCAAAGTCAGTTCTCCTTGGAGGCCTATGAAAGCAGATAAAAATGCACTAGGCACACAGTAAGACAAGACAAAATGAAAAAAGACTGAGAGAAAAAAAGACAAAGGAAACAGACACACAGATGATTCGGATATTGGAATGATCAGACAAAAACTTTACACCAACTGCCGTTAACGTGGCAAATTTTATGTTATGTGCATTTTACCACTATGAAAAATATATAAATTATAAAGAAACTTCGGGAGCTGGGGGGGAGGACGGAGGAGGGACACTGGGGGACGTGGGGAAAGAGTGGGGGTTTTCAGCTTGAGAGGAGCCTTTTAAAAGGATCCCCTGGCTGCTGAGTAGAGACAGTGGGACGAAGAGGCGCAGGGTGAGGAGGAGGACGAGCAGGGAGGAGGCCTGGGGGACGAGGAGGCGTGGGGTGAGGAGGAGGCCCGGGGGAGGAGGACCAGCGGGGAGGAGGCCTGGGTGAGGAGGAGGACCAGTAGGGAGGCGACTGCAGTTGTCCAGCTGGTGGATACTGCTGGCAGCCATGACAGAAGCAGACAAGTCTGAGATGCACGCGGAGGGTTCCATCTACAGGACACCCTGGGGGGCCAGAGAATGGGGTGCAGAGACTGCCCCCAGGTTTCTGGCCTATGGAGCTGCATGGCCGGGGGAAGCAATATCAGCAGAGGACCCGATCTGGGTGACGATCACAAGCTTTGTCCCAGACACGTGGGTGTGAAATACCTCTGAGCCATTCCAGAGATGGTGGGTCAGCGGCTGGGCATGTGGTCCTGGAGCCCCGAGCCTTCTGTGTGATAACGTGGGGTCTGTGTGTGAAGGCTCCTCCCACCTGGTGAATGGATATCCCTGTTTCCCTCCCCAGAATGAGCGAGAACAGATCATGACCACCAATGTCTGGCTGAAACAGGTAAGTGTCCTGCAGTGTCCCCAGCCCAGGAGGCATTTCCTCCAGGGCCACCCCCTTGGTGGCTACGAGCCTCCAACTTACAGGGCCATACCTGTCTGCTCAGGAGTGGACCGACTACCGCCTGGCCTGGAACAGCTCCCGCTATGAAGGCGTGAACATCCTGAGGATCCCTGCAAAGCGCATCTGGCTGCCAGACATCGTGCTTTACAACAAGTGAGTGGCAGGGTTGGCCGAGGAGGTGAGAGCCAGGCCAGGGCAGCAGGCCTGGACTCTGGGGGTCCTCGGGTCCTGAGGCCGGCCCTGGGCCTCATCTGTGCTTCACTCAGACCTCCAGGCGGTCAGGCTGGAAAAGGAAATGGGCAGACCCAGCACCCTCCATGGCAGGTGGGGCACTGGAGGCCCGGAGAAGGGGGGAGAGACTCACTCGCTCATTTGGGCACAGTTGGGCCCAGGGCCAGCATCTGGACCCCGAATCCAGTGCTCTTTCTGGTCTCCATCCTATCTTGTTGGCCCTCAGATGCTCTGTCAGTGCTGGGTGTTGGTAGCATCAATATGTTGGGTGGGTGGAGGGAGCGAGAGGGTCTCGTGGGGTCACAGTGTTCCCAGCAGAAGCATGAACCAAGTTTAGGTCCTCGCTGGACTGCTTCCTAGTTTTCTGACCTTTAAAAAGTCACTGAACTTCTCTGAGCCTCGGTTTCCCCGTCTATAAAATGGGGATCCTAGTAAAACCCACCTCCGATAACTGTGAGGCACATGGGAGCTCATCCACATGAAGGGCACTCTGTGCCACGCAGGGGCCATGGAAAGTTGGCCTTTTCAGGGAGGGCGCCAGGGGCTGGAAGGACGGCCACTGAGAAACGGTCCCGAGGGCTCGCTGGCAAGTTCCCCATGTTCTCCTCTCCGTGCCCCTAGCGCCGATGGAACCTACGAGGTGTCTCTCTACACCAACGTGGTGGTCCGCTCCAATGGCAGCATCTTCTGGCTGCCACCCGCCATCTACAAGAGCGCCTGCAAGATCGAGGTGAAGCACTTCCCGTTTGACCAGCAGAACTGCACCCTCAAGTTCCGCTCCTGGACCTATGACCACACGGAGATCGACATGGTGCTCAAGACCCCCATGGCCAGCATGGACGACTTCACCCCCAGCGGCGAGTGGGACATCGTGGCGCTGCCCGGCCGGCGGACTGTGAACCCGCAGGACCCCAGCTACGTGGATGTGACCTACGACTTCATCATCCGCCGCAAGCCGCTCTTCTACACCATCAACCTCATCATCCCCTGCGTGCTCATCACCTCGCTGGCCATCCTCGTCTTCTACCTGCCGTCCGACTGCGGCGAGAAGATGACGCTGTGCATCTCCGTGCTCCTGGCGCTCACCGTCTTCCTGCTGCTCATCTCCAAGATCGTGCCGCCCACCTCCCTGGACGTGCCGCTCATCGGCAAGTACCTCATGTTCACCATGGTGCTCGTCACCTTCTCCATCGTCACCAGCGTGTGCGTGCTCAACGTGCACCACCGCTCGCCCAGCACGCACACCATGGCGCCCTGGGTCCGGCGCTGCTTCCTACACAAGCTGCCCACCGTCCTCTTCATGAAGCGCCCGGACAGCAGCCCCTCGAGAACCCCCCAGCCCAGCCAGCCTCGCCTGACCCGGTCCGAGGCCGCCTCCGCCTCGGCTGCAGGCCCAGCCAGCACCCCCAGCCTCTATGGGAGCTCCATGTACTTTGTGAATCCCGCCTCTGCAGCCCCCAAGTCCCCGGCCGGCTCTGGGTCCGGCTCCGACGTGGCGGGCACGGCCCAGGGTTTCCGGCTGAGGTCTTCCGGGAGGTTCCAGCAGGATGTGCAGGACGCATTAGAGGGCATCAGCTTCATTGCCCAGCACTTGAGGAGTGACGACCAAGACCAGAGTGTAAGTCCCCAGCCCTGTCCCCCGCCCCACTGCCCACAGCTCACTCACGGACAGAGCGCCCAGACCCTTGGCTGGAGTGTGGAACCCAGACCTGAACTGTTTTATTGTAGCTCCAGGCATCAGGGAAGAGGAAGGAAGTGCCAAAACCCGTTTTTTGTTTGTTTTGGGGTCCCCAAAAGCAGCCCTGAGTTGAGGGCCCAGGCAAAGGCAGTTCACCTGCGGAGTGAGCTCAGGAAGCTCAGGGAGGGCCCCGGGGAGACCGGGGAAGGAGGAGCAGGCTGCCCATGACTGCCATGGGCTCTGGGGGCTCTGAGGACACAGGGGAGCACACACCCCTCGGCTCTCAGCCCCGAGGCGGAGGGTGGCCCTGGGCAGTCCCTCCCCAGCTCACCCGGCCTCACGCTGGGGCAGAGGAGGGGGGAGCCACGGGCACCCCGAGCCGGCGGCTGTCACTGGGCTGGAAGGGGACCTCAGTCTTGGGGATGAGGGTGGGCCGGGCACCGAGGGCACCTGCTCCCCTTGCCCCCCAGCTTGCCAACAAGCCACATAAACAGGACAGCTTTGGGGAGTACAGAAAAGCAGTTAGAACGTCACTGCTCGTACGGTGATAATGTGATGACAGATTTGCAAAGGGAGGTTACGTTTACTGTCACAGGACAAAGCCAGGGGCGCTAATGGAGAGGGTCCCAGGCCTCGCAGGCTGGGCTGGTGGTAACTGAACGCAGAGCAGGACAGCCCGGCCTAGAGACTTTCCCGCACGTGTCCGCAGCGGGCAGGAGGGCTGCTGAGTCACGGTGCTGCGGATGCTCTCATTTCAACACCTTACAGAGCAGACCCCCTGCCCGGCGGCCTGCAGCTACGGGCAGAAGGAGGGCACAGCCTCGTGCTCACCTTGCGCCAGCCGCCTTCTCAGGGGAAAGCACGGGTTTCTGTTAGTTGGAGGGACACGAGCAGGCTGCAGAGGCTCCAGCACCACCCCGTGAAAGAGGAAGAGCACGTAACCAACGGGACGTGGGATGGGAGCTCCTCGGAGCGCGGCCGGGGCCAGCAGCGCCGCCGGTTAGAAACGCAGCCCGGCCTGGCCCGCACCGGACTCAGAGTCTGCATTTTCAGCAGACCCCACGTTACAGTCCAGCTCGAGAAGCACAGCTCTAGAAGACCATCAGATTTCACTTTTGGTTGTGCTTTCTTTTAAAACCATCCAGCAGCTCGGCATCAGCTAATCCCCTGGGTCCCGGATGCTGATACACAGTGCAGGACCCTGCTGGCTACAGGGAACCTTGGGGTAACTGTTCACAGTCTGGCTCTGGGGCCACCAGGGCCGCGTTCTGAGTGAGCCCCGGCCTCTCTGGGAGGCCCCCTGAGCCTGCACCTGTAACCCCTCCCCCGGGGCTCCATGCACACATTCAGGCTGAGAAGCTGGTGTCTGTGCTCCTGGCTGAGCCGCCACCCGCCCTGAGCGCCCTCTTCTCAAGGTCCCCCCGCCCCGTGACACTCACATGCCTCCCGCCATTTCTAATTCAATCAAGCAAAAGCCTCTTGCGGGGAGCAACCAGGCGGGGTCCCCCACTATTACAATCACCGTTTCCCTGAGCTCCGAGCACACACGGGGTGCCCTTGCAGGACTGGACCTACATCAGTGCCAACCCCCCCCAGGAACTGTGGCAAGAGGCATGTACGCAGACCCCACTCCACGTCTGGGAGCACGAGGCTCAGAGACGCACGCTGCCTGGCCCGGGGCCACACAGCTGGTGCAGACCAGAGCCATGACACAAGCAGATCTCTACGCCGTCCTTACACTTCCCTGCCTGCCCTGGGTGCACGCTGGCCGCCTTCCTCCAGCCCGGTTTGCCCCCTTCCAAGCACGGCTACCCCTCAGCCGGCCCAGGCCGCGGCTCATCTTCAGCACCCCCCATTAACTGGTCGCTGTAAATAGCACACAAATATAAAAAGAGGGGAAAAGTCACACACGCCAAAAATACAGTCGTCTTAAATGAGGGCTATCAGAATGAAACCGCAGAGAGCCAAGCAGAGGCCACACGGGGTGCAGGCTGCACGGGGCCCGCCGGTCCTGGGGGGTGGGGGGGACGCCTGACATGGGATCGCCCTGGAGGGGCCCCGACAAACTGGGTCACTGACGTCACCTCGTCCGCTGCTGCCCAAATCTCCAAGTCCAGAGCCTCTGATGAGTTCAGGTCAGGCCACTCTCCAGCGGGGAACACGGGCAGAGGGGTCAGACGGGCCTGGGGTTGGGGGTGGGGTGGAGGGGCGACAGACCAGGGTGCCCACGGTGGCTCTAGGAAACGGGGGCCGGGGGAGGTGACAAAGCCGAGGGAAGCTGTCTCCATCCACAGTGTTAGGGAACTGAGCGGATTCCACAGCCAGGTCTCCAGGTGTCCTGCCCCCCACACAGCGAGGCGGGCCCCAAATCTTCCTTTGGGCAGAGCTCAGGCAGGAGGCTGGGGCTCAAAGTAAGAGAAGGGGACTCGCCATGATGTGGTTCTCCAGTCACACCGCTCAGTGTTAGTGGTATTACTATTACTAACGCTTTCATCTGTAGCTTCCCGTCCTCCCTGGTGCCTGTCGGC